CTGTTTTAAAGATCGTATACATGTATCTAATGAAGCCTAGCATGTAGCAATCTCGTACCCAGCGCCCTTGTCCCTCTTACTGCGCATGCTCGACGAAAAACAAGAGCTCTGGAAATATCAAACACCGGACGTCAGAAACTGGCTATTTCACCCATGCGCAGTAGAATCCCGATCTAACGGCTTTATTTTACTGATTTTGCTCAAGAAAATCGTCTAAATGAAAACCTTCGAAGTCAGAAAAGGGATTTTTTTAGACCTTAGATGATAAATCTATCTTCTTCGAAGCTATTTTGATATCTATTATGATCAGATAGTAGCAGACAGTGACGGTTAGTGATTATCATGGCGTGACAGTTCGTCGCCTCGTTGGTATTCCATTTTATACTTAATTGATCATATTACTCTCAAATTCCTACTTCATAGACTTAATAAATGCTTTTAAAGGAAGAATTCAAGGTGAGGTAGCGAAATACAGAATGATTTGAGTGTTTTTCTCCGTGATATTTTCACTTCCGGCGGCAAGCTGTTTATTTTATGAGCCAATCAGAGAGCGAGAAATTTTCGAAATTTCCAGAGTCACTGTTTTTCGTCGAGCCTGTGAGCCTGCGAGTAAGAGGGACAGTGGCGCTGGGTACGAGATTGAGCATGTAGGCATTCTGTCTGCGCATGCGTGTGGCACGAAAGAATCTTCGAGAATCGGCGCCATTTTCTTTGGAACATGTTCTTTATAGTTAATATTATTAACTATGGCTACACTAGGCTCAGTCTCCAGCCGTCGGGATTTCGTGCRCCCRYGATACTCTCYMCCCTGACGGCTGGGCGCATGGGGTTCGCTATTGTCAGTTTCGACCAATCAGCGAGTGGCCCCCGATATTTTCAGGGGCATGTCATTCATAAATTAGCAGGTAGCCGTCGTCGCAGTGTAACAAAATGGCTTACAATTCGTCGTTTGAGATTCTCGTTCGAACGCTCTGAAGTCGTTYAGCTTGGACGAATTTAGAGAAATAMAGMAAAAGGCTCTTAAAGAGATTGTTCTTGGAAAAGATGTCCTTGTTATTCTTCCTACTGGCTCGGGCAAATCTCTTATTTTTCAAACAGCGCCACTAGTGTATTTTGCTCGTCTTTCTGGCAKATAATATATCCATTTGGATTATTAAACCCTACACATGTTTTACTTGGGGTAATTTCCATTCCTTTCTCTTTTTTAAAGCGCTAACTATTACATTATATCGCCACTTCGGGAAGTTTTCATTTCACATAATTTCCCGCCTTGTAGCAAAACCTTTTCAGATATTTCACTTCCGTTCACTGAAAAATTCACTTCCGTTATTAATAATATGCTAATTACACAAAAACGTCACGGACATGCGCGACACGTTTCGAACCCCGTGCGCCCAGCCGTCAGGGGAGAGAGTATCGCGGGCGCACGAAATCCCGACGGCTGGAGACTGAGCCTATGGCTACACTAGATCGCAAGAATTGTAATAATTTCAATTAGAACCGAGAGTATACACGAGTGACTACACCGGCCAAACCTGCCCAAAGGAGAAGTTGGTGTGGTGGCGCTTGCCTGATGCGCGCACCCAGGCTAGTGCAGGGAAAGAGGTGCCTTATTTCTCCATTCTAGACCGGCTCCAAGCTATTGTAGATCTAGCCACTGCCGCTAAACAAATATAGCACTAAATATAGTTTTACATTTATAACCTTTATAAGCACTATCTGTCTGTCTGTGATCCCATAACACAAAAATTAATAACGCTATAATCCAGTGTCATGTCTCATAATTCTTTGAATAGAATGCATATAGATACTATAAAAGTAATGTTTTTCACTTTGCTATGAAATAAGAATGATCATATTAGCGCATTGGTCTATTAATAGACCATTTTCCAGTAGTCCGATCTTAGATTGATCTTTGGGTTCCCTGTGGAACTAACGTCAGTGATCACAAGACAAGAAATTCAACTTGATCGCAGATCGTTTCATTTTCGTACCCTTAACAGCATTCGCTTTGTTCGAGTCAATAGATAAAGGATTTTCAGTTTCATATAAACCTGACTGGTGCTTAAAGATAGTTTCAAGACGACTTCATCGCATCAAGAATATTTAATACACTTGGTATAGTAATCAAGCCGTCAGTCACGCCAACCACTGCAAGTTTGCAAGCAGGTAATTAAGACCATTTCAGTCCAAATATACGCCTGAAATTAAATGAGAATATATTTTTTTTCTTTCAGTGACTTAATTTCATTAGGGATTATTTTAATGCTTAATTTCACTCAATAGTTGAAGGCAAAGTCTCAGTGAAATAAAAATTCCCGTTGAATTCAAATTATGAAAGAATCATTAATTGCAAACGTTAGATACTACAGGAATGAGTTAACTGGCGAGTTTTGAAGACCTTAGTTGATGCATGGAGGGAGTCAAACCATTTTTAGTTCTCCTTACATTTCTTGGTAATTTCCGGGTTCATCGGGGCGTGACGCGCGTGAAAAATACAAAGAAATGTATGGAGAACTTAAAACCACTTTAATCACTCCCTAGATCAGATAAGTCCTTCAAAATCGCTAGTAAACCCCTTTTTGAGGTATCTATAACGTTTGAAATTAATCATTCTTTCAGAATAGGAATTCAACTGGAATTATTTGAGTTCGATTTCTGGCTGTATCCTTGTTACTTTGAGAGACCGTAGTAACCTCACTCTTATTTCTCCATACATTTCTTTGTAATGTTTTTTTTCTACATTTCTTTGTAATTTCCACGCATTTCACGCGCGCCGATCAACCCGGAAATTACAAAAAATGTATGAGAGTTTATGAGAATCTATGAGTTTGCTCGCACCTTTACCTGTTTCTACAAAGCCATGAGCTAGCTAATCATAATCATGCCACAGTTGCTTGTCAAAATTCTAGTTCAAAATCCCTTTCCCAACCTCAGGAGGAACCTCGTCGGCTCCTCCTGAGAGAAGGGTCATATATATCAGCGCATTATTAATCGGACTAGCCGAAGGCTAGGTAGACTTAAGTTTTACCTTTTAGCCAATCTATCTATCTATCTATCTCCCTATCTATCTATCTATCTATCTATCTATCTATCTATCTATCTATCTATCTATCTATCTATCTATCTATGTGTCATGTTGCGTTTGGACCACTGGAAGTTAAGAATTTAATTATTAACTATTGGGTTGGCTGTGTTATTACATGACCCGAAGCTCAAACGTATAGATGTACAAATACATCGTTAGTAAATGTCAGATTCTATTTGCGCTTTTATGTGATAAAAAAAACTTTTCGTTTACAAATGTGGTATCTGTAATCTCATTAGAATGCATCAGTTTAGCCATCAGAAGTACGCGCATGTGCGGATCGCATGGAGGTTCGAGTAGTATGCTTACGGAACTGAATTCTAGCGCTAGACAGTCTTGTTTGGRCAAAGATTTCAAATTAGAACAAGAAGAAACTTTGTTGATCAATAACAAAAAGGCGACTTTGATTATTTTATAGGCATCTGTTTAAAAGTATTTATTTTCTTGGCCTGAGAGGTCAACAATTTGAATTAAAAACGTATTAGATATGATATCACTTAGAGACATCTAGTCTCTAAGTATTAATTACATGACCTTTTAGATCAAAATTTAGATTTCTATCGTTTTGAAGTCGTTGCAGAGAGCAGTCGAAAAGAATATCGTATCGTGTGAATAAACGGTCACGCATTCTTGCTTTYACTATGTATTAGAAGTAAAAAATATAATATTCTACGCCATGATATACATTCAAAAATAGCTAGTCCGACTTCACGCTCCAAGAGCGTCTAGTTCTATTAATAGACCATTGCCCAGTAGTCCTCTTAGGTTGTTCTTTGGGTTTCCTGTGGAACTGACGTCACAAGACAGGAAATTGATCTTGATCGTAGATCGTTTCATTTTCGTATCCTAAACAGCATTAGATTTGTTTGAGTCAAGTAGAGAAAGGATTTTGAGTGATTAAATTAATGTAAAGCTGCCTGATAAAGATAGTTTAATTTCAATTCAAGACGACTTCATAACTGATCAAGGCATAATAGATACACTTTTCTATACATTTCCTGGTACGTAATTTCCGGGTTCATCGGGGAGAAAAAAAATGTATGGAGAACTTAAAACCAATTTAATCACCATGTATTTTACCGATTGTCAATTTTTTCGAAAGGACGAGGTTTCAATGAAATATTTTATATCAAGTTATAAAATATTTCAGGGTCATAAAGGATGGGTAAAATGAAATCCGTACAAAATCTATGGGAGTAGATAACTTTGTGTTATAGTATTAGAAAGGTCTGATGTCAGGTGAATGAAGAACCAATATTTATCGAAGTAACAAAATTTGTAATCTGATCATCCGGGTGGATTTAGTTCCAAGAAGAACTGGTTGACGTCACGTTTCGAAACAACAGTCCCATCAACCACAGGATTCCAAGGCTCTTTGGAAGTAAGGGAGTTTGGCTGCCTGTGTGGGCAATCTTAACGGCTTTTCATTCTTGAAATATCAAAAAGGTTCAATATAAAAGATGTTTCAATATCATAGTGTACTTTGCTGCATCAACCTTATTGTTTAATAAAATAAAACCTAGCTTTCGACCTACGCGGCCATCTTCAGGGTTACAATGAATCTCGTTACAATAACATAAAAACTTCACCATCAAAACAAAGAGCGCGTGCATAAGTTATGACGCGCGTTATAAAAGCGCCTGCAAAGACTTGTGAAACTAAGAGGAAAGATCTACTGAAGAGTATGAAAGACAGAATTCAAGATGAAGCCTTAAAAACGTTGTGCACCACGGACGTAGTAACACCTAGTATAAACTGTATGGCCTACCAAAGATCCATAATGAAGGCACACCACTAAGACCAATTGTTAGTTTATCAGCTTTCAAAATACCTGGTAAAAATCATCGCAGCGCTAGTGGGAACACCGAACAACATTTAAAGAACATTAGGGAGTGGGTTAGCGTTGCACAAGATCTTACTATTGGCGATGACGTGGAGTTAGTTTCCTTTGATGTTGTCTCACTCTTTACGTCCATCCCCACAGAAATAGCGGTTCCTTGACGCCTAATGATATAACATCCTTGCTGTCCTTTTGTCTGAATTCCACTGAATTTAGCTTTAGAGGCACCTATTACAAGCAAAGCCATGGCACGCCAATGGGCTCCCCTATTTCCGTAACTGTGGCTAACCTTGTCATGGAAGTGGTTGAATCAAGGGCACTCTCTTCATTTCTTGCTGCTCCAAGGATTTTCAAACGGTATATGTCGATGATCTGTGTCATAAAGAAAGACCAAATTGAGACCAAATAGTGTGCGGTCAAGCGAACCGTACGGTCGCACTTTATAAGCTCTCTGTAATTTCAAGCATATTTCTGTAAAAAATCAATATTGATTTACAACATGGTATCACCAAACACCTCCAAACTAAAGAAGGAAAATGATAAACTAAAATCCCAGGTCAACGCCATTTCTGACGAGCTTGAAGCACTCAAGAAAAAAGTGGACGCCTCGGGCATCATGGCCGCCGATGCTTCGGCTCGTCCTATAGATCTGGAGAAAAGCGTACAATTCCTGTCAGATGAATACGATGACTCAAAGAGTTTTGTCGCGTCGTTAAAGCAAGATTTCGAAAGAATCTCCTCGAAGTTACGATGCATTGGAGAAGATTTGACGAAGATCGAAGAAGCCATTGAATCGATTCATCAATACAGCTACCAATACACCTTAAAGATCCCCGGTGTGCCGCAAGAAAACAGCTCTGAGTCGTTGAGAGAGTCTGCAGACATCTGTCTCAAGATTTTCAATGAAATCGGAGCAAACGTTATGGAATCAGACATTGACATTGCMCACCGAATGCCAAACAAAAGGAATTCAAATTACCCGCCAATTATCCTTTGTAAATTCACCAGAAGACTCGCGAAAGAGTCAGTACTCCAACATAGAAAACAAGACATTGACTTAAGGAAAATTGGGATTCAACCAGGCGAGAGTAAGGTTAAATTCCAYGATCACCTGACTCCAAAATCGCAGTTGCTGTTCAATAAAGCCAGAGCATTCCAGAAAGAACATGGCTACGAATTCTGCTGGACCAATAATTCATCAATCCTCTTAAAAGCYACCACAAATTCTAAAGCTATCCGTGTCACCGGCGTTGATGTTTTGCACGACTTAGTAAGCAATAATGACGACGCAGCTCAAGCAGCAGARTSTCAACCGCCATGGAAAAGAATTTGGCCTCCCGAAGATGAGTCAAGCAAAGGACCTAGGACAAGAGCAAGGAGCAAGGCTGACTAGATGCCTCTTAGTCTCTAATTTCCGCTAAGTATACTTATCTTATTGATATTTAATTTTCACAAACAAAGATCTACTAAAACAACTGCCATATTATGGCTCCAATATTATATTTACTCATGGTCAATTCAATAATTTACTAGACATTGAACTTCCTTGCAAAAAATATCTAGACAAGCTGCACAGCTTATACGATTATAATTTATTCACACTAAATACCAGGCAGTCAAATCTACTAG